GGGTCGTCGGAGGAAATTTTTTTCGTAATAGAGCTCATATTAAGAGAATTTCACTCGCGGTCACTTTTTAGCCCTCGTCGAGGGCTATGAGTGAAACCGACAATTTTCCATAAAGGTCAAGCCATTTACCTAAGAGCATGCAAAAAATTAGCCAGATGTAAAGACGGTAAGTGCCCTAAAGTTCGTTTTGAAATCACCCTCTGTTTTCCCCATAAAATACAAAGATTATATAGGGAAATACGACTGGTCAGTTTTGACCCATTTCCCGATTTTTCCCAGACATGGCGAGTTTTTTGTGACACCCCCAGGCATTCTCCTACCACCTCACAAAATTTCAAGGGGGGTCGTCGGAGGAAATTTTTTTTCGTAATATAGCCCATATAAGGCGCCGGTCAGTCGAGGTCAGTTTTGACCCCCTCTCCGTAGACTTTTCGGCAAACCGCTACCGGCCCTCGTGTTCTATCGCCCCAAGGCACCATCGTGCCAAATTTGACGCGCCTGCGGCGCCGGGAAGTGCCCTATCGGGCACCCGACCACTTTGCTTTATATATATAGATAAATATATATATATATATATATATATATATATATATATATATATATATATATATATATATATATATATATATATATATATATATATAATATATATATAATATATATATATATATATATATATATATATATATATATATATATATATATATATATATATATATATATATATATATATATATATATATATATATATATATATATATATATATATATATATATATATATATATATATATATATACATTTATATCTACACATATATATATATATATAAAATATATATACATTAATTTTTATTTATATGCAGTATTCTATTGAATGATGATTTTGTATACGGATGTATATAAATTATATATATATCAGTGGCGTAGGCAGGGGGGGGGGGTTAGGGGGGGTCATAACCCCCCCCCCCCCATAGACCCCTCGGTATATAGAAAAAGTATGAGGGGGGGTGCAAATCGAAAGTTTGAGGGGGGGTGCAAATCGAAAGTTTGAGGGGGGGGGGTGCAAATCGAAAGTTTGAGGGGGGGGGCAAATCGAAAGTTGAGGGGGGGGGGTGCAAATCGAAAGTTTGAGGGGGGGGGTGCAAATCGAAAGTTTGAGGGGGGGGGGGGGCAAATCGAAAGTTGAGGGGGGGTGCAAATCGAAAGTTTGTCCCCGGGTAAAAATTGGAAACCCCCCCCCCCCCTTGAGACGATCCTGGCTACGCCACTGATATATATATATATATATATAAATATATATATATATAAATAAATAAATATATATATATATATATATATATATATATATATATATATATATATATATATATATATATATATATATATATATATATATGGTAAAATCTTAGTTTAGCGTCGTAAATTCCAACGTAGCTAGTAATGTGCGATGAAGGTAACTAATGAATATTTCTTTCATTTGACCATATTTATGTCATATTTTACACAATATAACAGATAATTGAATAACAAATCACAATCCAAGACCAAACCAGTCATAAATATCCTGGAATAAACTTTAAACTACCCCGTTCGAGACAACAATGAGTAAATACAAGCAGCGGCCATGTTTTAAAAACAATAAATTGTCTATTCGCATGTCTTTTGTGTTGATTTTGTGGTTTAATATGATTGTTTTGTATTGTTTTAATATATGCCGGGGGGGGGGGGAAGGTCGTCCATAAATGACGTCACACTCGTAGGGGGGAGGGGGGTCCGTAATTTTGTGACGTTGTGTGATGAGTGGGAGGGGGAGGGGTTCAGATGGTGCTACGTCACACATTGCATTTTAAAAAAGCAATGTTACAAAACGAATTATAGACGTTATTTTGCGTTTAAAAAAACTGTTTTAATACATTGTAATAACAATTGATTAAAATAATCTATTTTGACAGAGTTCAGACAAGATTTTGGAAAAATATAGCTGTTTAAAAACGATTCAACTGCAATTTTGAGGGGGGTTGTAGGCTGAGGTGTGACGTCATTTTAGGGGAGGGGGTCTGGCTTTTTGTGACGACGTGTGACGGAGGGGAGGGGGGGGAGGTAAAAATCGTCAAAAAAAGCGTGACATCATTTATGGATGACCCCCTGTATAGTAATTTTTCTTTTTTTTAATATAGTTGACATGAATGACTAATAGATCTTATCAGACTTAATAGTGTGCATCCAAGACCACAACAATTGTTGGGAGGTCGAACTTTTGAACACTTTATTTGCAGTAACTGAGTAAGCAAATCAATATTAGATCGCTCATAAATGACGTCGCTCTTAATATAGTAATGATAGCGTGTATTATTACAGAGCAAACATATGAACATATTGTTTCAGATAGAAATAGTGATTTGTGGTGGGGAGAGGTTGTGTAGAACTCAGCGATGTGATTTTGGAGACGGGTCAGGTTGTTTTTTTTTCGTGAAAACAGGGGATGGTTGTGGGAGAAAGACCAGCTCTAGAAGTATGACGCGTCATTCATTGGTGATCCATTTTCTCAGTGGGGACGATAGAACTATTAAGAAGGGTCGAGAAATGTTCAAAGCATGCTGAGTCGTATTTCTTGAACCCAACCGTTTCATCCCACACTTAGCACAACGTCACCGAGTTAACGCTCGCACGTGACGTCATGTACCGGTACCGCCGAACAACAAGCACTGCCTTTTTGAGGCTTATGCGACGTTTAATTTGATTACATAAGTTGGTGTTCATTAAACAGCCCCTAACACACCTATCACTCGTCCATTTAAATGTACGTAGTTATTTCTGCAAGCTTGCTGTCTTGAGACATTCGCCCCTTTAAAAATGTATTAAGCTCTCACCGTATAGAACTAGACTACCCATAATAAGCTCCAAAAGAAGCTTGGTGAAAACAGGATGGCCGTCCGATTTTGAAGCTGCTCTGAGCTTTTTAAAAAGCACAAAAAACGATAAAATGACACTTATATTAAAGTAAATTATAGTTTTAAAACTTGATACATTAAAAGTGATATTCGGAAATTAAGAGCCATACAGTCAACATGATATTTCAATTTAAGTCCAAGAAAATAAATTTCCTCAAACGATGGAACATTACTAAATTTTCGCGCAGTTTAGCGAAATTGAATTTAAGTATTTACGTCATCTTACAAAGCGCGATAGCCTACTGGTGCTCTAACGCGGCCCATGCTAATGGCCGTATTCCTAACGCCCCGCATTAGACGCGGCTTATTCGTCGGCAGGCATTTGGTGGCAAGCCTTTTTGACGGGGATAATGTGTTGAGGCCGTTTTGCCAAATGTCTTAAACTAGCAGGCTTGCAACATTTGTGATGATTCGTTTTAAGCAAGGTATACGTATACTAATGCTTATTTATCGTTATTTTGATTGAACAAAGCATTATAGAGGTTCTCCATCAACCACCTAGGTATTTTTCCCCGTTCACCTCCTTTCATGAGACCGACACGTCATAAATTGCGGAGCCGCCTGAGTTGACGTCACAAATCTTCACTGACTCCCACAGCAAATCATATGTGACATCATTTATGGACAACCCCATATCACTCACTTGGGTACTTGATATTGACATTTTGACAACAAAGGATAACCAAAATGTGTCTGGCAGGTGGAGACTTGCGATCGACCATAATGACAACACGCACTTAAGGGGTGGAGTGGCTGATTATTTTAGATGATGTTTTACGAGGGAAGCTGGTGGATAATACATTTTGTCTCTCTGTATATATAAATGATGACAAACATGTATTGTTGTCAAAATTATGGCTAGAGATCTTAGAAAAGGCAGAGCGAAGCGTAATTTTTTACATTAGGGGTCATCCATAAATGACGTCACGCTTTTTTTGACGATTTTTACCTCCCCCCTCCCCTCCGTCACACGTCGTCACAAAAAGCCAGACCCCCGCTAAAATGACGTCACACCTCAACCTACAACCCCCCTCAAAATTGCAGTTGAATTTTTTTTAAAACATCGATATTTTTCCAAAATCTTGTCTAAACTATTACAATTTATTAAAACAGTTATCTAAAACGCGAAATAACGTCTAAAATTCGTTTTCTAACATTGCTTTTTTATAATGCAAAAATGTGACGTCGCAACATCTGAACCCCCCCCCCCCTCCCCCTCATCACACATCATCACAAAATTACGGACCCCCCTCCCCTACGAGTGTGACGTCATTTATGGATGACCCCTTATGACTTGTTGTGACATTGACAACAAAAATATGACGGAGGTTGGGGTTTAATTAAGGTAAAGAGAAGTAAAAAATGTCATAAGTTACGATAGAATCACTAATTGATGAAAAGAAAAACCTGAAATGAAAATAGTGAACATTCAAACAATAAGAAAAAACTCAAACTATATAGTAATAGTAAGATCAAATAAACATTAGTAAAAAAAACGTGATTTAAAACATGGATACAAGTTGCATCTCACAATGCTTCTAGAATTAATAAAGTTGTTTGTTAGGAAATACAATTTTTAAAGAGCAGAATTTAAAAAAAAAAAAATGCTTTGTAATACGGACTATACAACAAGACAATCATATTTAAATACATTTTCATACGAATAGAAATGAAAGGGAAGCTACTCTAAATAACATTTTCTTAAGATGGCTGCTGTTTTTAATAGCAAATTTACTACCCCGAACAGGGTTGATAAAAATTAATTTCAGGATATTTAAATTGATTTAACCATAAATGGTGATCTATTATTCAATTATCTATAATACTTTATCAAAATATACGAAAATATAATCATATTTAATGACATATTCATTAATGCACTCTCTCCTACATTACTAGTTTTGGCCGAATTTACGACGCTAAACTAAGATTTTACCATATATATATATATATATATATATATATATATTACTATGTATGCATTGATTTTTGTATTTATATACAATAATATTACTACTCTATTGATTGCTGATTTTGACTGTTTCTAGATCAACACACCCAGCAAGATGAGCAGCATGCCTATCGCCAACAACACGGACAGTGTCATAGACAGACTGACCTCCCTGGAGCAGACCCTTGACCAGATCTACCTGGTCATCATGGGCATTCTGGTCTTACGTGAGTTATCTCCTCATTTCTTTCTATACACGTTGGTATAATTTTGTTTGTGTTTTACCTATAGGGCTGGTAAGTAGGTCACCAACCCATTCTATGGCTCATGCATGTTTTATTGAGCCGTAGAACTGGTTGGTGACCTACTTACCAGCTCTGTAAGCCTACATGTTTGTTAGCAATTAAAGTTGTGTTTTTACCAATACACGGTTGGTAGTGATTAGTTGTGTTTTACCTATACACGTTTCATAGTTATATGTTAGTAAGTAGGTTGTAGTCCTTAAAAATGTGGCTGGTACAAATAGACAACGAAATAGAAATATCGTTAACCCCGGCGCTTAATCTCGAGGAGGGCAAGGGGTGGATTTTGTCTATTGGTATATGTTTAGTGTAGGGGTTTGTCTAGGGTTGTATGTTTAGTGTAGGGGTTTGTCTAGGGTTGTATGTTTAGTGTGGGGTTTTCTCATTGATTGTATTTTTAGTGTGGGGTTTTGTCCATTGGTAGTATGTTTAGTGTGGGGGTTTGTCCATTGGTAGTATGTTTAGTGTGGGGGTTTGTCCAGCGGTTGTATGTTTAGAGGTGGGGTTTGTTCAGGAGTTGTATGTTTAGTGTGGGAGTTTGTCCATTGGTAGTATGTTTAGTGGTAAGGTTTGTCCAGCGGTTGTATGTTTAGAGGTGGGGTTTGTTCAGGAGTTGTATGTTTAGTGTGGGGGTTTGTCCAGCGGTTGTATGTTTAGTGTGGGAGTTTGTCCATTGGTAGTATGTTTAGTGGTAAGGTTTGTCCAGCGGTTGTATGTTTAGAGGTGGGGTTTGTTCAGGAGTTGTATGTTTAGTGTGGGAGTTTGTCCATTGGTAGTATGTTTAGTGGTAAGGTTTGTCCAGCGGTTGTATGTTTAGAGGTGGGGTTTGTTCAGGAGTTGTATGTTTAGTGTGGGAGTTTGTGCAGGGGTTGTATGTTTAGTGTGGGGGTTTGTCCAGCACTTGTATGTTTAGTGTGGGGGTTTGTTCAGGAGTTGTATGTTTAGTGTGGGGATTTGTTGCCTAGGGGTTTCATGCCAACAGGGGTAAGTCCGAATGGTGTTTTTGTGTGTTAGATGGTTTGTCCAGTATTTTTGGGGAGGGTGAAGGCGTGTCCATGGGAGGCTTGTCCCATTGTTTATATCTCGAGGTTTATATCCTGGATTCTTTTTGTCTCGACACCGCTGTTTAGCCGGGACATGACCTTTGACCGAGTTGACGAGAATCCTTCCATCAAAATTGTTGACATGGATAAAAATCAAGTTTTTTTTTTTTTTTTTTTTTTTTTTTTTTTTAGATTTTGCAATCAAATCCAACATTGTTTATTTTTAACTTCTACCTGAAAATAATTTAAAAATTTAATAGTTTTAGAATAAATGTTTGAAAAGTTCCAAATCCAGAGAACTTTAAAATAAATTGTTGAGTTTTTTCTATTATTTTTTATCAAGCCTAAGTTATAACCTGGTTTTACTTTCGTAAGACAAATATTGATTGGCTCAAAAGGAACTCCGTGATCGATATTCTAAAACCCCACTTCATAAGAAACTCATTGTAATTGGCAGTAAAAACTAAGCCGATACAATTTTTAATTATTTTTTTTTAAAACCACATGACCTAGTTCAGCCATTTATTTTTAATTTCTGTGATACGTATAAATAATCAAATTGCTTTTAGCTTTTTATTCAATTTCGACTGGTTACAGGAAATTTTAAAAAAAATAAATTTTATCATAAATTCAGATTCTTATAACCATATTTATTTTAATTTATTTTAATAACATAGCAGATCTACATGATTTTATAAAGTACTCTGATGTTTCTCCTTCTTCGTTCTTAATTTTAGTATACGTGTCAACTGGTTATGCGTCATTCATTGACACCCATTTAAGCCTTTTTGGATTTGCTTCCATAGCCTTTGTCCAACCAAGAACAAATTACAGGGCAGAAAGTTGTTTAATTTAAGAGTTGTCTCTCCTAGAAGAGTGGCTGTCCCCAGCTACCGAGCCTCAGTCTAACAACCATGAGCTTTACCGAATTGACCAAGCCGATCCCCGCCTTTCGGATGATTATCGGACTACTCTAGGTTGGGCCCCATTGACCGGCCTGGTGCTGATGTAAAATTAACTCTAATAACCCTTTCTGTGAACAATGCACTCCTTTCTTATTTTGTTATAGTGTTCACTTCGACACAAGCAAGGGAAAAATTTCTAATCCGAGTTTTGATGTGTATATGATGTCAGCATAATTGTGATTTTTGTAAATTGGGCAAAACCCTTTTTTTATATAATTTTAAAAAAATCTAATTGAACAAGGTTTAACAAAACACATTAAAAATAATACAATAGTTTCCCTGCAGTAACAACATCACGATGTATTGATTAGATGAAATAATGGTGTGGGACTGGGTTGTTCTTTTGTAGCTGTGGGTTGTTTTAATATCCCTGATGTGGTTGGCGTGGTTGGCGTGAGGCTTTGTAACGGTTGTATTGTTTACATAAATAAGGTTGGTGGGGTTGGTGATGAGCATTGTGGCTTTTGTGTTGTAGGTGATGTAAGTTGCTTTTTTACCCTTATACATCAGACTGTTTCTTTCAGGCATTCCCCCACCCCCCACCCACCACCAACGCCATCTTCACAGACGGACATGTTTACCCTCCTAAATATATTTTAAAAAAGATATTTAAAAATATAGATTTATTTAATATAGTTAATGTGACAAGTCGACATTTCCGAACCTCTGACAGGTACTGATCAATGCTGAGTTGACTCAACGACGTTCTTAAGACACATTCGTTTGAGTTGAAATATAAGAAAAGAGGTGGTGATTTCAAAAATGACGATAAGGAAAAAACAGATCTTTACCCGTCGACATGGACAAATCATCCAACGTGTTACCTCTGAAACCGCACTTACCTAAACCCCCCCCCCTTAATAAACCACCCCCCCCCCCCTCCAGTCACACACACTTGACCTAACGTGTGTGCACTATTGTCCAAAGACCTAACAGTACCGCTGTTTCAGACTTGCATGTAGAAATACTTTAACGACACCCGTTACTGCTGGGTGTTTTTTTTCTGCGTGTTAATTAGTGATTAATTATCTTAAGAACCTTTTTACGGTCTCCTTAACGTGCCTTGGGACTTTAATGACATGACAACAAAAACGGCAGGCCATTTACGGTCAGAAGACATTATTATTTTTTTTTATTTTAGGAAAATGGGTAAAATATTTTTAAATATAATCATTAAGAGTTAATCATTTTTTTATTATTTTTTTTTTATTTTTGATTAGGTTTGAAAAAAAATATTTAAAACAATTTTTAATCTAATTGGCTAATTGCTATTTATAATAATTAATATTTGTGTTATTAGGTTCCGATATTAAACGCATTCAGTTGTATAGTTAGACTCTTTCTTTAAAGATTTAATTTAGTAGCAAACAATTGCTAGCATCCCATGCTATCGAAGATTTAGCAATTCTGGATTAGGATTAGATTAAAGAGTAAGACGCGGGGGTTATGGTTGTGTTCTAGTTAGGTTTAGACTGGTATTCGATTTGTTCTATTGTCCTACTAGCCTACACTCTGTCACACATTTTCGGTCAGTTGAGGGGGGGGGAGGAATTAATATACTTAATTACTGTTACCTGATATGGCAATAATGAGGTGGACTACTAACACGAACGTTTCGAGTTCGAATCCGGGTTCAAATCAGTAGAATATCCCTGAGTCCACCTAGCTCTGATGGGTACCTAACTCACGTTAGAAAAAAACAAAGATGGCTGGGCATAGTACTGACCTCACTATCAATTCATGCGCCGTGGTCTCTGAAACAGATTAACTCTACTTCATCTGCCGCATGTGTTTCGTCACGAACGGGAAAAGAAGATGATATGGCAATAGGTCAAGCTAACGATACAATGATAATGATTGGTGTTATTTTTTATTTTTTTTATTTCAGTTTAAATTGTTAATTAATTTAAATTCGTTGATTTAGTGAGATATCTTCACTTTATTATTAACATAATGTTGGCATTTTTTAGTTTTGTTGTTCTTGTTTCGAGAATGTAAGGCCTTTTTCAACCACCACTCTTTTTGATAAAAGATACTAGGGGACGTTATTGTTGGACAAGGGTTGTAACTGTTGGTGGTAAAACTAGCACGTCGCGAATAAAGCAACATAGTACAGAAATAGACCTATCATTCGGGCAAGATGGACAATAGCGCAGATGAAGTAGAAGTCACCTGTTTCTGTAACCACGGTATATAAAGGGATATTTGTTTTCTCGAACGTTAGTCAGGTACCCATCGGAAGTGGGTAGATTCAGGAACGTCCCACTGTTTCAAGACCGGGTTGTGAAAAGGTCCCGTCATTTTTTTACCGCCCTGTGAGGCATCGTGAAAGATAGATTAACCTGTACCATCTGTTTTTTTCCAGTGATGCAATGCGGCTTCGCTTTCCTTGAGGCTGGCAGTGTCAGAAGTAAGAACACGAGCAACATCCTCATTAAGAACCTGTTTGATTCCTGTAAGTAGATGACGGGTTGGTTTACCTGTGGTTTACCTTTCGTTTACCTGTCTTATTGGTTTACGTGTGGTTTACCTGTCTTGTTAGTTTACCTGTGGTTTACCTGTGGTTTACCTGTGGTTTTCCTGTTTTGTTAGTTTACCTGTGGTTTACCTGTCTTAGTGGTTTACCTGTGGTTTACATTTCATTTACCTATCTTTTTGGTTTACCTGTGGTTTACCTATGGTTTACCTGTGGTTGACCTCTCGTTTACCTGTCTTATTGATTTACCTGTGGTTTACCTGTGGTTGACCTGTCGTTTACCTGTCTTATTGATTTACCTGTGGTTTACCTGTCGTTTACCTGTCTTATTGGTTTACCTATGGTTTACCTATGGTTTACCTGTGGTTTACCAGTGGTTTACCTGTCATATTGGTTTACCTGTGGTTTACCTGTCTTGTTAGTTTACCTGTGGTTGACCTATGGTTTACCTGTGGTTTATCTGTGGTTTACCTGTGGTTTACCTGTGGTTTACCTGTCTTGTTAGTTTACCTGTGGTTTACCTGTGGTTTACCTGTGGTTGACCTGTCGTTTACCTGTCATATTGGTTTACCTATGGTTTACCTGTTGTTTACATGTGGTTTACCTGTGGTTTACCTGTGGTTTACCTATGGTTTACCTGTGGTTTACCTGTGGTTTACCTATGGTTTACCTGTGGTTTACCTGTCTTGATAGTTCACCTGTGGTTTACCTGTAGTTTACCTGTCTTGTTTATTTTTAACCTTTTTAGTTCGTGTAAATACTGTCTTGTTTAAATACATTTGTGATTCGTGTAAATAATGTCGTGTTTGTTTACCTGTGTGATTAGCCTACATACTATCTTGTTTGTTTACCTGTTTAGTTTGTGTAAGTAATTACATCGTCTATTTAAGGTACGGTCTATGTCGATGCATGTCAACACAGATATTGTTAAAACACCTATTACCTTGCATAATAAAAAGCTACCAAATGTTCCGAATGGTATACATTGTAATATAAAGCCTTGCAGTTGTTTGTTTTTCAAATCGCTATACATAAATGTATAAAATATTTCATTATTTTTTTTTACCTATCATTGTAAGATGAGCAATTAATCCAACGTATCACCCTAACCCCCTACCCTACCTTACCTCATCCCCCCCCCCCCCCGCGTTAATCTATCCAGTGCAAACAGCTTTACTGTAAGATTGGGTCGTGACCACCACTAAAACACGCAATAATCCCACTATAACAAAGTGGGATTTAGACTCCACAAAAATATCTTATCCCGTTGTTATGATGCTTGACTGGATAAAAACAAATTGAATGGAACTAATTGAAAAAAATTCGCAAGAAATGCGTTTCGTTTTTTTATTCAATTATTTTTTTTTTTTATAAATCTAAGAAGAACTCAAATGGCTTTCTAAAAATAATTATTACAACAGTGCAAAACAGAGGCGTAGCGACCCTTCCCGGCGCTCGGGGACAAACTTTCTATTTGCACCCCCCCCCCCCCCTTCAAACTTTTGACTTGCATACATCCCCCCTCAAACTTTTGATTTGCATACACCCCCCTCTCCCCCCCCCCCCCCGTCAAACTTTCGATTACTTTTTCCAATCCATTTTGGCGCCCCCTAAGGTCGGCGCCCGGGAACATATGCCTCCCTCCCCTCGTCGCTACGCCTCTGGTGCAAAATAAGGGTTAGAGTCATTAGATTTTCAGACGTGTTTAAAAATATCTTGATTATTTTTAAATAATTAGACCCAGCTAATTATAAAAATGTAAGTAATTACTGTCTGGAAGCTTTACATTTTTATAAAACAGGCAACTAAAAATAACATTGAAAATCGATAGAGGATTTCTTTTGTCTGAAAAAATTAAATGTATAAATTGCATGGGACGGTGTGGTCGAACGGCTACAGGACATTACCCCCTGGATATTCCCCCCACCCCCCCCCCGGAATTCCCCCCCCCCGTATTTACCCCCCGGAGCAATTACCCCCCTGTCAATTACCCCCCCCCCCCCGCGGGGAATTACCCCCCCCCCCCCCCTCTCAAGTTAAAATCCTAACTCTAACTAGAATTTTATACTTAAATACTACTTTAATCCAAACCTTAAGAAAGAGACCAAAACCTAAGCATCCACCTTAGCCTAAAACTTCACACAAAACCAAAACCAAAGCTAGACACAACCCTAACCCTAAAACTAGCTCTAACCCTAGCCCTAGCCCTAACCCTAGCCCTAAACCTAAACCTAGCCCTAACCCTAACCCTAGCCCTAGCCCTAAACCTAGCCCTAACCCTAACCCTAACCCTAGGCCTATACCTAACCCTAGCCCTAAAACCTAACCCTAACCCCAACCCTAGCCCTAGCCCTAGCCCTAGACCTAAACCTAACCCTAAACCTAGCCCTAACCCTGTCCGGGGGGGGGGGTAATGTCCTACTGGGCGGGGGGGGGGGGGGGGGTAATTGACAGGGGGGTAATTGACAGGGGGGGGGGGGGTAATTACTCTGGGGGCTAATGTCGGGGGGGGGGGGGGAAATATCCGGGGGGTAATTGACAGGGGGGAAATGCCCTGTTCCCGGTCGAACAGTAGAGAGTTCGACATCTAACCAGAAAGTATTGAGTTCGGATCACCAAGGTCTTATGGGTACCTGACTTATCTTAGGAAAAGTAAAGGCAGCTGGGTATAATGTTGACCCATTCAAAGCCCTTTATATGACTCTACTTTATCTGTCTCATGGAACTCAAGAATCGAAAGGGTACTTTTTTTGTAACGTCATTTGAATTTTTGACTGTGTCTAAAGGTAAAAAAAATAGGTTCCGACCAAAAATTCGCTACAAAATCAATTGCTAACCACAAGACTCGCGACAAAAAGGTTGAGATAAACTAGCCCACGACAACCTGACACCCCTAAATAAAGTTCCCGAAAATGTGACCAGCGACATATTGGCTCCGGACAATATGGCTTATAGTGTAACTCGTAAATTACAAAAAAAATGTGTGTACGTGTGCTTCAGGAGTTAAGTGCAATGTGAATAAGGAGAGTACTGCAAATAAAAGTGTTTGAGTAGAATTTGTTTCTATTTGCGCATTTTTCTGTTTGCGCACTTTTCTGTTTGCGCATTTTTCTGTTTGCGCCTTTTTCTGTTGGCGCAATTTTCCGATTGCGCATTATTTTATTTTTCTGGGAACCGTATGTATTGCCCATATGTCTTACACCTCCACGTGTACACGTCCACAGTCTTGTCTGGAATCGCCTACTGGACAGTCGGCTACGCCTTCGCCTACGGACCTGGAAACAGCTTCATCGGCTGGCACTACTTCTCGTCGTCAGAGCTCACAGACAGCGATCTGGCTTTCTTCTTCTTCCAGTTTGTCTTCGCGGCAACGGCGGCCACCATCGTGTCAGGGGCGTTGGCTGAGAGGTGTGATTTCATCGCTTACCTCATCTACAGCTTCCTTATTACAGGTGGGTTTGTCTGACAGGTGGGTCGTCTGTGTGACAGTGGGTCGTCTGTGTGACAGGTGGGTCGTCTGTGTGGGTCGTCTGTGTGGGTCGTCTGTGTGACAGTGGGTCGTCTGTGTGACAGGTGGGTCGTCTGTGTGACAGTGGGTCGTCTGTGTGACAGGTGGGTCGTCTGTGTGACAAGTGGATCGTCTGTGTGACAGGTGGTTCGTCTGTGTGACAGGTGGGTCGTCTGTATGACAGGTGGGTCTGTGTGGGTCTGTGTGACAGGTGGGTCGTCTGTGTGACAGGTGGGTCTGTGTGGGTCTGTGTGACAGGTGGGTCGTCTGTGTGGGTCTGTGTGACAGGTGGGTCGTCTGTGTGACAGGTGGGTCGTCTGTGTGGGTCTGTGTGACAGGTGGGTCTGTGTGACAGGTGGGTCGTCTGTGTGACAGGTGGGTCGTCTGTGTGACAGGTGGGTCTGTGTGGGTCTGTGTGACAGGTGGGTCGTCTGTGTGGGTCTGTGTGACAGGTGGGTCGTCTGTGTGGGTCTGTGTGACAGGTGGGTCGTCTGTGTGACAGGTGGGTCGTCTGTGTGGGTCTATGTGACAGGTGGGTCGTCTGTGTGGGTTGGTGTAATTGATCGCTCAGTCTAAACAGGATTCTTTACTTTATCTCGTATGTACTAAACTGGGACTGACACAACACTATTATAACCTTTAACCTGTGACATCACCCCCCATCTCCTCCCCTCCCCAGCGTTCATCTACCCCGTGGTGACCCACTGGGCGTGGTTCCACGAAGGCTGGCTGGCCCAGGGCATGGTGTACGAGATCAACGGACAGAACGTCACCATCAACTACCACGTAGGTCAAACACGGCTGAGAGGAAACATTGTGGGGGGGGGGGGTTGTTGCATGCTCACAGAGAAACGATTAGAAACAACTAGGGTTTAATGTGCGGGGTGTCTTATAAACAGGGGTTCTTTCACGAATCTGGTGCCTCATATCGGGAGGAAAAGAGAGAAAATTGTAATTTTATCCAGAAAATGTATACTTTAACCTGTGTTTCTCTCCCCCCCCCCCATCCCCCATCCCCACACCCCTATCAGAATAAATGTCGTAAAGAAACCCCCTACCACCTATGGGACAAAATTAAAAAATGTGCCCGCCCCCCTCCCCGGAAGTTTCAAGTGCTTCCCCTTTACCCATGCCCCCAACCCCCTTCCCCCCCCCCCCCCCAACCCCCCGAAATTATTTTTTTTAAAAGAAGCCTTGCATATAAAGATAAAAACGAATTGAGACATACACCTGAATGTCATCGCCTTAAACGAAACAAACGTAAAGTAGAAACACACTTTCGAAATAATGTGTGAATATAGCAGATGAAGTAGTGTTCACCTTTTACTTCCGTGGTCTCGGCATAGAATACACTGTCTCGTGAAGCGACAGTGTGATCATCCTTTACTTTCTTTAGCGTGAGTCATTTCATAGAAACAGATGAACTCTACTTCATCTAGATAGGGAATGAGGGTAGTAGTTAGGTTTGATATTAGAGACTGAGCAATACTATTTTAAGTAGTTATTTATTTATTTCTCTGTTTTTATGTTTAAGTATTAAGTTGAAGGAACATGCAGAAAATTTGATTATGCCTAAATTGTTGTTTGTTTTTTATATACAACACGTTTTTATTAGTTGTAAGAATAAGCTTTTAATAAACGTACGTTACAGGACTTTGCCGGAAGTGGCGTCGTCCATTGTGTCGGGGGCTCCGCAGCCTTTTTTGGGGCGCTTATCCTAGGGCCTCGTATTGGGCGGTTCCACAAGGAAACTGGCACGACCATCAACCTACGCGGACACTCGGTCCCTGTAAGTAATCATCTACGTCTTGTTTCGGCTTGTTTAATGTAAATATATTAGAAGTGTTTTGTTTTGAGGATCAGGGGCTCGGCGTTGTCGAGTCGGTAAAGCTCATGGTTGCTAAACCGAAAAGTCTCGAGTTCAAACCCTCGGGCACATGAGGCTCGTACAGCCACTGTTCTAGGAGAGAAAACTCCAGAATAAAACAACTGCTGCCTTGTAGTTTATTCTTGGTTGGACAAAGCCTATGGAAGCAAATCTAAAAAAGAAAACCTGGCTGAAATCGAAGTCAATGGCCTCAATGGCGTATAACCAGTTGACACGTATCCTTAATTGTGTTGGAGGGGATCCCTTCCAACACTAAAAATTAAGAACGAAGAAGAAAGAAGAAGTTTTGAGGATGAGCATTCCAGAATTCAGTTCACTGTATATTATGTGAATGGTGTGTTCATAGTTAAAGTATATTATGTTTATATCACATTGTCCACAGTTCGCTGCCCTGGGTGGATTTATCCTGGTGTTCGGGTTCATGGCGTTTAACGGTGGGTCTCAGCTGACCATCTCAAAGCCCGGGGACGGGGCCAAGATTAGCCTGGCTATCGTCAACACCGTCATCTCCGGGAGTACGGCTGCCTTCGCCACTTTACTCATCCATAAGTAAGACGTTTGTTTTGTTGTTGTTGTTGTTGTTTTATTTTAGCGAATCATAGAACATTGTTTAAGTAATAGAATGTATAAGGTAATACAGTCCAGCTCTCGTGGATAACTGATTCACGTGTTAGGTAAAAAAAGAAAATTAAACCCTACTTTGACTGATACCTGATTAAAATAAAAGCTCTGACTTATTGACTGAATCCTTTGAAGGAAAAAGCTGCAGCTACGCCTCTCTATCAGACTCTATTTTGGGCAGCTCTATTTCGTTAAGCCCAGAGTTTCTTCAAGGCATCTCCCGGACGAAATTCAATTTATATAGAGAATATATACTTTTACTACCGTCCGCACCCCCCTCCCCGGTTAATTTAAATAAAATTAAACTTATATGAGAAGTTAGTATACAATATAGAGTGTATGTTTTCTTTTTTTTTTTGTTAAGAAACGTGTCAAAATTAGTCAACGAGAGTAGGCCTATGCAAGAGATTATTTTTAAAAAAAAACAAGAATTATTTAGAAATATGTATAGAGTTCTACTTAATATGTTATTGTCTGTGTCTTAACCTGTTTTGACTGCTGTTTATCAGGATAGGAATACTGGGAAAACACTGGAGTCTGTTGAACACACTCAATGGTGCATTGGCTGGCATGGTGAGTGGTGAACCTTCAACTGATAGTTTTTTGTTGTTGTTGTTTTCTCAGTTAATAGTTTTATTGTGTGGTGAATTCTCAATTGGCTTGTCGGTTTTCATTTAGCCTTCTATAGGGCTGGTAAGTAGGTCACCAACCAGTTCTATGGCTCATGCAGGTTTTATTTAGCCGTAGAACTGGTCGGTGACCTACTTACCAGCCCTATATGACTTCACTATGCTGACCTTCATTTGATGTAACCACAATGACCTATATATTACCTCCTCATGTTGACCTCACAATGCTGACCTCTATATGACTATGTTGACCCCCATATGACGTAACCATAATGACCTCTATACGACCTCACAATTATGACATCTATATTACTTCCCCATGTTGACCTCCATATGACCTCACCATGTTGACCTCCATATGACCTCACCTTGTTGACCACTGCGAGACCTCACTATATTGACCTTTGTATGACCTCACTATATTGACCTCTATATGACCTCACCATGTTGACCTCTATATGACCTAACTATTGACCTATGTATGACCTCACTATATTGACCTATGTGTATATTGACCTTTATATGACCTCACTATGTTGACCACCATATGACCTCACCATGTTGACCTCTATATGACCTCATTCTATTGACCTCCATATGAATCACCACATTGACCTCTATATGACCTCACTACATTGACCTATGTCTATAACACCAGGTCGCCGTGTGTGCCGGATGTGACCTCATCCGACCTTGGGGCGCCACCATCGTTGGCGCCATCGCGTGCGTGTCCTTCAACTTTACGTCATGGCTTATTAACAAGGCCAAGATTGATGACCCCGTAGATGCTGTTGCAGGTAACGTGAGCAAAAACCTGACTCAAGGTTTAATCTACGTGTGTGTGTGAGCATTTGTTGATTTAGAATCCTCCATAGAGACATTCTAGTTTTTTAAACCGCCTCGATCGCCACCATACTGTCACAAAAGACCGAATTTTCACATCGTTGCTCACCTTACAAGAAAGTCATATATCCCCAAATCAACTTATTATAAAATGCATGCTACCTCACATTTTTGTCTGCCCCCCCCCCCCCCCATCCCCTACCCCCTAGTTCGAAAAATCAAAACCCTTTGCTTCGATACGAAGTAGGTGACGTCATATATTGACCGCACTTTAAAAAGACTTTTGGGAATAGATGCCCTTTATGTGTAGTGTAACCTAACATTTGTACATGCACATATATTTTTAGTACAGTTTGACTTGTATTGATGTAATCTCCTGTTCATTTTGGTGATTAAATCAACTTGTATTAAGGTTAAGTCAACTTGTATTATGATTAAAGTCAACTTGTATTATGGTTAAGTCAACTTGTATTCTGGTTAAGTCAACTTGCATTATGGTTAAGTCAACTTGTATTATAGTTAAGTCAACTTGTATTATGGTTGAGTTAACTTGCGTTATGGTTAAGTCAACTTGTATTCATGTATTCACCAGTAAATTCGGTGGTTAAGTCAACTTGTATTAAGGTTAAGTCAACTTGTATTCATATATTATCCAGTCCATTTTGGTGGTTAAGTCATCATTTATTTATGTATTCTCCAGTTCACTTTGGCGGCGGTTCTTGGGGCGTCATTGCCGTTGCGTTTCTCCGATACGATGATGGAATCTTAATGAGCTGGGACAGGCAGTCGGGTCTGGTAAGTCTTAAAATTCCTGAAATTAATTACTTTACCCTCCTTGGGTATACATTAATTTGATATTAATTTATTTTAGCTGAGTCTTTACCTGCTAACGATAATAATGTCCCACCCCCTACCCCTACAAACATATACGTGTCAACATTTAAAAATTTTAAAAACTCTGCTTCACCTACCCCACCAAGTTTAAGTTCCCAACCACCAGTTTATGTATTATTTTAACGTGCTGTCGTCTGCTACTTTCAGTTCCTGGCCTGGCAGCTGGTTGGCCTCTCGGCCATCATCGCCTGGTCCGGTGGCCTCTGTTTTATTTGTTTCATGGCCATGCGTCTTCTGGGAATCTTGCGGGTCTCTGAGGAAATGGAAATCAAAGGTAAATTTTATCTTACTGTAATATTTTGGTCAAATGTAAATGTTGCTCTTCTGTACCTTTTGTTAGTTTTAGAATTATGCATTCAGTTTAAAATTCGTTATTGTTATCTAGTGATGTCAATCCTCAAAGAATATAATATGTATCTTTCTGTAGTATTTTATAAATGTTCAAACACTAAAACCCATCTAAAGTGTCGACACACCAACATAATTTCTAATATTTATCTTTCTGGATTTGAAAAAAAAAATTCAAAACACCCACACCCATTTTCATCTTAATTACCAAAATGGTTTCTGGTTTCACTTCTAATTTGCAACACTCAAAGTTAGATTTACAAAACTTGAATTTCTAGTGCTGATTTACTTTTCTAGAAATAAAATGCGCAACGCTATTTCTTTGGGTTTTTGTTTGTATATGTGTTGTTGTTTGTTTGTTTGTTTGTTTGTCTGTCTGTTTGTTTTTTGTTGTGTTTTTTTAATTGGTTTTTTTTTTTTTTTTTTTTTTTTTGTCTTTTCTTTGTAGTTTTTTTTTTTTTTTTTTTTTTTTTTTTGTATAATTTTTATTTATTCCTCATAATAAAAACAATTCTCGAAAACAATTCTTAGGAATTTCTTTTCCTAATCCTAAATAACTTTGTTTGTGCCCATACTGTTTCTATACTTAACGCAGTACTTACCTCCCTGTTCTCAGGTTTGGATATACCTAAACATAACGAGCCCGCATACCCCCTCGAGTCATACGGCCATGGTTACCTGGAGAAGATTGTTACAATTCTAGAGGATGGGCAGTTGTCTTCCCTTCATCAAGGTAAGATCTCAAAAAAATGTCGATTTTTTTATGAGAATAAATTCTACTGCTGAGAATTTTTATTTCATCGAATGGATTTAAATCCCCGTTGGTGTTGTTATGTTTTTAATATAGTTTTTGAAATTTAAAAAGATCCAATTTTATAACAAAGATAGAAAAACTAAACACTTTTTTATGTTATTGTAAACGAGTGCAATAAATAATTTAATGAACCCGAATCTAAAATTAAATCATTCTTGACGTAAATGTTCAATCTTAATACAGAAAAAGATATTTCAGGTACTTTTTCAGATAATATATTAACCCTATCGTTGACACGTTTATTTACAGGTTACGTTTAGTTAGTGTGCTCAATCGGTAATAAAAGCTATTATCAATTTTACTCATAAATCTTAAAAATATAATCCTCATTATACAGCACTTTCATTGCAAAAATCTTTTCACAAATACTATTTGAATGTGCAGGCAAATTTTCATGTTTCTTTTTTTTTTTTTTTATTAAATTTTATATTTTTAACATATCACTTTACGTTGCGAATTTTTTCCAAAGATTTTATTTTCTAAATATTTTACTATTTACATACTATCAAGGGTTAAGTTTGTCTGTAGCTACAGTAGGTAAAGGGAAATAACCATGTAAATAACGAACATATAAGAAGGCAAGAAGAGTTACATTTAAAGGGAAACAATTTAATTTTGCCAGATTTAAATAATGGAGTTTTTTTTTTTTTTTTTTTTTTTTTAAACACTTTGCTGTGACAGGCTTTGCTGCTTGTTACTTAAATTATTAAATGACAAAATTACTTGAAATTTTTTAGGTTACCTCAATGGGGGATTTACTAAAGATCTTGGACCTTATGAATCTCCGGAGGTCAAGATCATGGGAACCAACGAGGTGAGAATGATCTTGTCCCTGGACCAGCCCTTGTCCACTAGAGCCCTCGGCTACATCCCCAACAATAACAGGGAGCCGATCACCTTTGATGGAACAGCCGAAAGAACAGCCTTGTAAATTGATGTATATAACTGCGCGTAACATAAACGGAACAGCCAAAAGACCAAATAGTTTTGTGCTTGTTCAGATCCGGAAATCATTTTTTTTCAAAACGGAAATTCAGAAATTACAATGATTTGTTTACTTCAATACAATCAATAAATTAAACACATAAATTGAACGTTTTCGTTCATTACATAAAATCATATTAAACGTATTTCAACAAATATTTAAATATTTATCACTTAGGCCTATAATTTTGAAAAAAAAAAAATATTTTGAAAGGGTTTATTTTATAAATTTCAGCATTTCCGTTTCGACTGTACGAGCTAATTCCTAATTAGAGAAACAGCTTTCATTATTTCCAATGCTTAACATTCAGCGCACATTGGCGTGACGTGTTACGCATAAATGATAATTTTGTTATAGGATAAACGTTTAGTATTTTATTAGTCTATAGAAAAAAAAACAATAAGCGCAGTGGCATCACCTGTTTGCTTATGGTCATTTACGTCAGAACATATAAATGTAAACACAATAGCTTAGGTGTCGTCCATAAATAAGGTCATGCTTTTAAAGGCAGATCCCCCCCTCCTACCCAATTTCTTGCCACACATTGTCACTATGTCTGAATCCCCCCCTCCCCTTTTTCCCAATGGAGTGTGATGCCATTTATGGACGACCATATTACGTTAAACAATGAACCAGAAACATACACCACAAACCATTCCAAGTTTTTCCATTTGGTTATTTTATTTTGTTTTTTACGTTTGCATTTAAGATAGAATTGTATTCAGTGATGGAATGTGATTTAAAATAGAGAAGAACAAAGATATTTTAATAGATTTTTTGTTGGGAATAAGTGAATTAGTGGATGTATAATAATACTTTTAATTATCCAAGTTGAAGTTTTTCTTTTCAAATACTCTTTTTGTGAGAATTTCGTTTTCATTTACACAAAACGAAAGTTGCAAAAAATGTATTCACAAAGGGAAAAAGATGTGTTTGAAAACAATTTTCATTTTTTTATAAAATATGTTCCCATCTAGCCTATACCTCATTGATTACATAGATGTTGTGTATAATAGTGTGACATGTGATTTTTTTTTTGGAGATAGTGACAATGTTATTGACAAAATAGCACATGTCATTGCACATGTCATAACATGTGATAGCACATGGCATAGCACATGGCATAACACATGGCATAGCCCATGGCATAGCACATGTTTTTGCTGTACTGTTATATTTTAAAATGCTTAGAATAGATTCTGGTTGTCTTATAATACTACGTTTGAATCTCATCATTTATTTTATACATTTAATGTTAAATATATTCACATTTACAAACCTTATAGATATTAGAAAAAAAATGTTTTGTTAAAGATAAATTTGCTACTACAAAATGTAAATTTTCTGAGTAATGCTAAAAATTGTATAGACATTAATTTCTAAAAATTAATAAGCATATTTTAAAATCTGGTTTTTGTAGTTTTTTTTTTTTTGGTCTCTTTAATAGTTGTATTGCTAAACCCTAGATATTGCACTAAATTAAAGCCATAACTTTAACTATGTAGATAAATCCAGTAGCCTGCATAAACACATATCAAGATTTATATTTTATATACACTAACAAGGCTCATATGTTGATAGAGTCATCTTTTAAATGAGCATTATTCCTTTTGTTATCTCTAACACAGAAACATACACACACACACACACACAAACAAACAAACAAAGATAACGTTTTTTATCAGCTCTTAATACAAATTTCATTCACTAAAGCTAAATGTGTTCAAACTTTAAAGGTAACTTTTCCGTTCAAATAGAACAAAACTCGAATAAAATCCGTAAATGTTTCTAAGTGAATTGTTGATGGCTGATCCGTTATACACAACCACCGGTGTTTTCATTTCATTCAGTTATTTAAAAATGTATCAAATAATTTACATAAAATATTTAAATCAGTATTTAATTGGTTACAAAAAAAATTGTCACAAACGTATCCGTAATCTTTAAATGTCAAGTTAAAAATGGTAAACAAATGAATTTAAATGAAGAAATCCATGGTTATAATTATATGACAAATACTATTTCATGCAATGATTGAGTAATTTTTATACAATTTATCATTATGGTTATCTAAATGTGTATTGTTTGCATTTTCAGGTAACATAGTTCTGTACAGTTTGTAATTATTATAATAAAAATTATATTAGTTGAAAGTTTATTTTCTTTAAATCAAAATCTAGTTTGAGATTAGTTATGAATCTTTTCTGTATGTTTGTAGTTTAGAGTAAATGAAATATTATGCCAATAATTCAAGATTACGAAAAGAGTTTTCTTAAAATATTTTTAGATTGTATATTATATATGGGTAAAAACAGATTTAAATGTTAAAAATTTCTTTTTGCATCTGTTTTTTCCAAATGTGAGCTTTTGTAAAAAATTAGAATTCAAGCTGTGTTTGCAAATATATTTACTGTCTTATGCATTTAACTATTGTACTGCAAATTTGCTTTTAATTATACACTTGTTTTTTTTATGTCAAGATTTTTTTATTTTAAATATGATGACAGTTATTTTAAACTACCTTCATTTAGCTTATATGTATTTATTTAAGTGACAATGTTATTTATAAATAGCACATGTCATCTAAGTACCCTGTATACAAACATGTATTCAAATAAACCATGTTTTTTTTTAAGTTTAAAATGTTCCCTAGGGGCTTTCACTTCGATATTACTAACTTGTAATTTATATTTTTTTCTTTTGGAAATTCAATAATTACAGTTAACTATTATCTATTTTTTTTTAAATTAAACATAACTGTGACAATGTTATTTAACCAATAGCACATGTCATTTATTATACATTAACTATAATTATCAACTCTTTTTCTTCTATAAAACTACTTTCCTTACCTTGCTAACACTTCAAAGGCCAGCCACTCTATTAATTTTATCTGAAATAACTACTTCCATTTTTAACAGTTGAACTTAAATTTCCTTTACCTTTTTTTTTTATTTTTTTTTATTTATTTTTTTTTTTGTAAAATTGACAAAAAGCCTTTTTACTTTTCTTAGTAGAATGATTTTTTAAATAGCAATAGTTGAATTTCATTTACCTTTCGGTTAAACTGAATGCTTTCTAAATGCAATATTTCAATGTTGATATTAATGACTGTGTACTGTATAATAAAATTAATAAACAAAACCAATTTTTAACATACACTAGCCTTTTCTTTATTACGAGAAATTAATTTATTCGTCGTTTTAATTCGGCTGTATTTCTGTGAAACACTAAACCTATGTATGTACATTCGGAGATTTGTGTCCAAGAATTACCCTTGACTAAAAGCTAGTCATCTTGACTGCCCAAGAAGAAAAGAGTATTTTAATTATTTAAAAATTGTAAACTTAAATTATTCTGGTACAAAAACTACAGAGAACCGTTTTATTTTTAAAGACTCTACTATAGTTCAATAATTTTAGTACATTCTTTAATATAGGCATTATAAAATAGTTTGTGCATGCTTTAAAATAAGAAATGGGACAGAGTGGTCTAGAGGTAGATAGCTAGACTGCTAACCTGTTAGTCTCGAGTTCGAATCCGGTTCCAAGTCAGTAGACCGTCCCTGAATCTACCAAGCTCTGATGGGTACCTAACTCACGTTAGGGAAAGTAAAGGCGGCTGGGCATAGTGCTGACCACACTATCTCTTCATATACCGAGTTCACAGAAACAAGTGAACTCTACTTCACTTGCCCCGGTAGGTTTGAAAAGGGAACTTTATTTTTACTTTACTTTCACATAAAATTATTTTCTAAAACTTTACCGTCAATCAGCAATATTTTGTAAAGATATCCCCACACCCCATGTCCTTGTTGACTTCGCATCATTTAAGGGCAGCAAATGGAGCACAAATGACGACAGTTGTGTCTTCACTTATGCTAGGTTTTATAGGGGAAAAGTTCATTCGTTTCGTGGGATGAATACCAGTAGTGTGCGCTATAGGAAGAATGGTTCTTATTGATGTAATCAGACTTTAATACATGTATATGTAAGTACCATTATATCTGAATGTAAATGTAACATATTATACATGTTTGTGTGTTGTTGTTTCTTGTATTTGGAAAAAAGGAGATAAAATTTAATATGTGCAAAATATGCAAGATATTTATATATCTATATGTGATCATTGATTTCTTTTTATGTAATTTACTTGGGTCTGTTATGGCGTAGTTGGACGTTAGAGCATACGTCTGCTTATATAAAATTCCCGAGTTCGAATCCCGGGTGTAACGTCCCTGAGTTCGACAAATAAAGACAGCTGGGCATGGTACTGACCACACGATCTCTTATATACCGAGGTCACTGAAACAAGTGACTCTACTTCACCTACCTCATCAACAATTAGGTTCGATAGGGTAGTTTACTTACTTAAGTCTGTACAGGATGTGTGATGGTGGGTGGGGGGGAGGGATGTACGTTAAAGAGTGGATAGCGTGAAGAGGAATATGTATGTGAGGGACGATCTACGTGAGTGTGAGGGAGGATCATTGTGTGGGTGGGTGTGAGGGAGCATCTCTATATGGGTATGTGTGTGTGGGAAGATCTAAGTGTGGATATGTGTGAGGGAGGATCTCTCTATGTGTATGTGTGTGATGGAGGATCTCTCTATGGGTATGTGTGTGTGGGAGGATCTCTCTATGGGTATGTGTGTGTGGGAGGATCTCTCTATGTGTATGTGTGTGTGGGAAGATCTAAGTGTGGATATGTGTGAGGGAGGATCTCTCTATGTGTATGTGTGTGATGGAGGATCTCTCTATGGGTATGTGTGTGTGGGAGGATCTCTCTATGGGTATGTGTGTGTGGGAGGATCTCTCTATGTGTATGTGTGTGAGGGAGGATCTCTCTATGGGTATGTGTGTGTGGGAGGATCTCTCTATGGGTATGTGTGTGAGGGAGAATCTCTCTATGGGTATGTGTGTGTGGGAGGATCTCTCTATGGGTATGTGTGTGTGGGAGGATCTCTCTATGGGTATGTGTGTGTGGGAGGATCTCTCTGTGGGTATGCGTGTGAGGGAGGATCTCTCTAT